AATAAAAAAAAAAAAAAAAGGTCTGCAGATAGCAAAGAAGCTATTGTTTCCTGTGCTATCTGCCATCATTTCAGGGGGGTGCTCTCTCCCAGCCCCCCCAACCCCCCTCCGCGAATGGGGGGGAGAGGGCACCTCCCTGAAATGAGAGGGACACCTCCCTGAAATTGCTTATTTCAGGTTGGGATCCCTGCCTTCTGGTTAAGCAAGGCAGTTGGCATTAACAAAATGTGAGCAATGGCAGCCTTAATATCAAAGTTTTGTGTGTGTGTGTATAACCTTGTATATTTTGTGAACTGAGGAACTGAGGAACTCCTCGCAAGGGGGTGTTTTTTTCTTTTTTTTTCAGTTTGAGTGGTAAAGATAGCAATATCAGCAGGAAACAAAGTAACATGCCCCTTGTACATTTTACGATTATAACTCCTCCCCTCCAACTTGTGCCCTTGCGTCTTCCTCACGGTACTTGGTTTAAGTAGTGCGTTGCCAATACTGCAGTCCCCACGGAGTTTGTAAACTGAGATCATGTCACCTCTTTAGGAGAACAGGCCTAATTTTTGTAGGCATTCTTGAGAACTCAGACCCTCATCCCCCTTAATTTGGTTGCCCTTCTCTGAACTTTTTCTGGCTCACAGACATCCCTCCTGAGGATTGGTGACCAGAATTGCACCGTGTACTCAAGATGGGGCCTGAACAGTGTTCTGTAAAGGGGCAAAATTATATTTCTATCCCGTGAATGAATCCCTCTTTTCCTGCAAGATAATATACGATTAGCTGCAGCTTGGGCACCACATGCTATAACTGAGCCTGGTCTATAAGATCCTTTGTCTGTTTTTCCCCAGTGAAACCCTGCGTAAGGTGTAGTCAGTGTGCATGACTTTTACATTTACCTAGATTTAAAGCTCATCTGCCATGTAGTTGCCCATTCTTCAATTTTATTGGTTGCAAGGATTCTGTCATGTTGCGATATTACTTCCTTGCACAACTTGGTATCATCAGCAAACACTGACGGGGAGCCATTTATTCCAACCTCAGTCATTTAAGGCAGTTGGCATTAACCGAATGTGAGAAATGGAAGCCTACATGTAGTTTCCTTGAAGAGGAACTTTACCCAGATCTTCAAAATGACAACAGATGCCTTTTTAAAAAAATGTTAAAGGAGAACTATGGGATCAGTGTTTTTCCCCATAGTTCTCCTTAGGGTAACGGGAGGACACAAACTAGCGTCCTCCCGTTACCCTAAGCTCAGTATACCGCGAGCTGCCGCAGCCGGAGCTGATCCCGACGTAGATGACGGGATCCGCCCAGTTGCGTGAGTGACAGCTGGCTCTGCCTATCTAGAGGCAGAGCCAGCTGTACCCGCCCCCTCCCCCGTCCATTCCGCCAGTCAGCGCTAGCAGATCGGAGCGGGGAGAGGGGAATCCAGCCCCTCCCCCTGTCACGGCAGAGAGCCGTGACAGGATCGAGAGGCGCGCGAACCCGGTATGTGTTCGCTCACCTCCCGATCTATTGAGCCGACCTTCTCTTAGGCGAGGACTTCTCCATTGCCACAACCAGGCAACTTCCAATGGCACACCCACTGTATAAGGTAAGTGGGTGCCACGAAGGAGGGAGGATTCCGAAGCACTAAGCGCAAGCACAATTATTATATTTCTTTTTTTTTCAAGCTGATTACACCATGTTTTCGCTACACAATGGAAATATACACCGTTGCCAGGAAGCAGCTTATTGGACCCAAAGGCCTCTTTGATCAGGTAAGAATGTCTGTCTGGTTTTTGTGGTGACCACACAGAGGCTCTGGTATCTTAATTGATTGCTTGAGTTAAATGTATACAAGTAAATATAACCCTGCTGTCACCACTCTTGCTGTTGTTGCCATGTGTCAAATCTTTTTGGTAAGAGGAAGGGTCAAAAACAAGTTTTTATTATAGTAATCCATATAGTGGGATGAGTTTACCTGTCTTGCACAGGAAGTGGGAGACTGACACTTGGGATTTCTCATGACTGCTGTCCCAGTTGTAATGGTATCAAAGAGGCTGGATCTGGGACAACACAGATGGCAATAAAAACCTAAGCGGTTCTAAGCCTTTCTAGTGTATCCAAAGTGGAAACTTGTCTTATTGGTCTACATACTGCGCTAGCCCACACATGCTCCTTCCTATCCTCAAAGCTGGAAAACAAAAGGCTACATATTAACACTGACCTAACTGGAGGACCACTGAATGTCCTGTAGTCCTACTTATGGTGAATGTCTTCTAGCAACAACACTGGTCTGGTAACAATGCAAGTGTGAATCTTTTAGTATTGGAGTTTTCTCTTTAGGCTGTGGCAGTGGGGAATGGAGGGGTCCCAGTACTCCTGAAGAAAGCCATGGATGGGCTGACCTATAGTAGTCTGTCTCCCTGGTCACATTATGAGCAGAGGAATGGAGTCCATCCCTAACTACCTTTACAGGGATGATGGCATGAAGATCTGTTTAGCTATGGAGAGGTGAGGTAGATCTGCTAGAGCTAAAATGTTTAGCAATAAACCGCTTTCCATGCAGCTTCTTTAAAATAATTTTCCTTCAATCTGGATTTTCCCTTTCCCCTTTTTTTTTTACAGCTTGTTTTCTCTTTTCAGATGCATGAGATGACTATATTTTAGCCATCTCCTGCACCTGACACTGGGCCTGACTTGCTGAAAATCAACTTTTTGTTCCACGGCATATAAATGGATGTTTACTTAACACTGTTTTTTGTAGGCCCGTTATATACTGAACACCAATTGAGCAGTTAGAATCGCACATCCAAGTCTTGGAATCACACAATTGCTTATAGTTGCGGAATCACATAGTTGTTGATGGGAGCTGTTGTCCTGCTCCACAACAATCAAAAAGCTGCTCAGGGAGCAACATCCATTGTAAGCAATTTCATTAGCATTTAAAATTGCTTAATCCTTTTGACTTTAATATCCCTTTTTGAAATTTTGCAAAAATATGTGTGTGTGTGTTTCTGAAGTATTCATTACATTTAGTAATTTACCAAATGCATCACTGGTCTATCAATTCTCTGGCTTCCTTGTCAGTGGAAACAGTATCACAGCCAATCCTCTGGCTGTTTTATTGCCACGTTGCATGTTCTCCTCCCTCCTCCCAGTGTCAGCTTGTAGGGTGGCTTCAGCAGGGATGATTTAATTGCATCTGCTGGCTGCCCCGTGTGTCACACATGTGCTTTATCTTAGTGATGTCTCTTGCACACTGTACAGGTGGTGGGTTTTAATAATGTAGTGTGTATTTACAGATGTATAGTGATGTAACTAGGAAAGATAGTCAAAAGCATCTTCAAAATGGCTCCATATGAAAACTCTTGAAGCAGATCACTATCTGAAACGCGTTGAGTATACCCCATCCAGTTATCTACTATCCAGCCACATGTGCTCCATGTATCCAAAATGGTGTAACAAGGACACTCCACTGTAGTCCAGGTAAGTCAAATCAAATGCAGTTTATTTAGGCCAAACAGAAATATATCTTGCATCAGCAGCAACATAAGACAGTTCCCTTTATATGGCTCAGTAGATTCGCTTATGAGCCCTAACTCTGCTCTCTCAGCAGTGTGTCGTAGCGGTCCTAGGGTCACCGACCTTCCTGACCTCTCCCCTCGTGGGCACTCAAACACATCCCTCATGTGTCACTGGCTCTCTGTCTCCTCGGCTGTCTACGAGGTGCCTCCAGCACACACAGCCACCTGGCTCCCCTCTGACGTCTGGGTGGAGTCCTCCTGACTCCTGAACACCTCCGTTCCTCTTCCCAGCTGGAGCCCAGAACCTTAGCCAGCACCCTTCCCATAAGGGCTATGCACAGGTGTGCAATCATTAGGTTCTGGCACCTACTAAACCATGGACCCAGGAATGGAGATTTCATCCCTCCCAGTTCTCTTTGAAATCTCCCAGTTCCAGGATCCCATACCAAATCCAGGTTTTCTGGAGAGAACTGCAAAGCCAGTTCTTTCCCAGCAAAATAATTTGTTTCCTGGAACTGCTCAGTCTCTCTGGCTGAGAGTCCTGGGTTACTACAACCCCCAGTTCCACTGTGGGATTGCCACACAATACCACAATGGGTTTGATATAAATGTGAATTAACTGTATATTTGTTGGCAGAAAGTGAATGCAGATATTAGGATGCATCTTAACACATACGAGTAATTTTCCTTCTCTGTTGTTGAACCTTCCTTTGTGCACAGCATGTTACTGAATAACTTGAAAGGGGGAAAAAGTGTAAGAACAGTGTGCAATTAACCATGTCCCATGCCATCACTCCCATTACTGCACATCCCTGTAAGAAAAATTTGGTATTGGTAGCTAGGCTGTAGCTATTGGAGTGTTCTCCCTTGGGTAAAAATTAGGTATTCATTCGCCTCTGGGTTGAAATGTGCCATTGTTTCCCCCTCCTTACAAAAGGATGCTGGGAAAGCCAACGTGTAGTGTTGAGAGTTACTGAGGGACAGCTTTGTGAGGGGGACAGTTTATGCTACTTTTATAGTGATGGTAACATGTTAGCACAGAGTTATACAGTTCTATAGTTGGTGCTGTGTATTGCCACTGCTAGATTACGATGAATTGCAGTTTGGTGGAGTGTACCCCTTTCTCTGTATCCACTGTGCTGTTCAGTGAAATCGGTGCTCAATCACTGTAAATTTTTGTGGTTTGACTGTGCACCACCCATTGCATATATATACAATGAATCACTTGCTGTTTAGCAGCTGGGTCCCCCTTTTGGGGGTATTTTATTCTTTCGTTTTGCCCATTTTTATTCTAAAAATCATGTTTGCTTAGGGTTAGTGTTTTGGCTTTGGGGTTTATTGAGTGTTTTTATACTTGAAAGGGTCCTTACTTCTTCGGGGGATCAGCAGCATGAACTTGACACACATACAAAGCTGTCTTTTGTTAGCAGCACATACTACATGTTGTGGTCCATTTTACAGCAAATAATAGTCCGCCACCTGCTGATGGCTTGCCATGCATTACCATCTACTGTTGGATAAACACTATGCATCACAGCAAAAACTACCTAAGGCAGGAGCTTTTTCTTAAAAAGCCTTTGTGTAATCCAAGAGTGTGTGTGTGTGGGTAAATTCATTACACCTACAAATTGTGATGTCACGATGTAGTGTCGCTGATGCTGTCCCAAAAAATTGCAATGTTCTGCAACACCACATATAACTTAGTCATCTCTGTAGTATGTATTATGAAGAATTTGGTTTTCCCATGTCTCCCTCAAAGTCTCATAAAATGTGGGGCCATCATTTTTCTCTTCTCTCCTTGTACAGGTGCCCAACACTCTGCCCTTTGTTGAACAATAACTTGCTTATTAGATTTAAAAATTAAGATATTTGATTTTTCTAGCCCATGAGAAGGGTTGAAGATACTAAAAGGTAGCTTTCTGTCTGACCTAACTAATGTACATTAGCCTGTGGCAAAGGCGTAAGATACTGCGACTTGGATGATTCTACAGAGTGGAACAGATTTTTTAAGCTGTATCATATACCTCCTTAGAAGATTGAACCAATAAAATAGCAAATTAAGAATGATTGGCTTGAAGTCTCTGTTCCCCCTGGAACAGAGACTTCCCTCCGGTAAGTGTCTGGGTGCAGCTACAGAATAAATATCTATTAGGGTAGGAGGGCACATGAAATCCAGCAGCTCCTTTGGTGGTCAGTGCTTCATACCTATTAGACCTATTTGTAATTACAACTGTCCTGATGCTTGCCAATTTTACACTGCTGTATTAGGCTTGGCTGAAGGTCAGATACTGATTTTTATCCTACAATTTAAGCTGTTGTGTATGGATATGTCAGATTTATTTATACATTGGTTTAAAACTGACTCAAATTCAAAAACTCAGCTCAACAACCTGTCTAAATGTATGGCTTTTTTTTTTTTTGGTAAATGAACCACTTGCAAAGATGGCTGTGTTTTATCCCACAGTTCTCCCCTAATTGATATATGTTGTCCCATAGCAATGTGTAATGCTGTTTTGTATAATTACCTAAAATCTACCATGGACTTTTCATCTACTGCAGGTCAGATCAGGCTTAAGCTGGCCATAAACCTTACAATTTTTGTTGCTGCCAAGAACCTTTTTTTGTGTACAAAAATGCTACTAGTCCATGAATTTTCATTGAGTGTTTAAAAAATCAAAAACGTTTTGCAGCCTGCCCGATGAATTTTGGCCAGTTGTACAATAATTGTTCACTTCCCATCAACTTAACTATTTATCAAATGGAAACCTGGCAATATGGTAATTCTTATTCGTTTGTAGTACAGCAAATGGGTTCTGGCTTAAGGAGGTCCACATTAAACTTGCCATACTTATGCTCTGCAAGCTTGAGTAGAGAACATGAACAAATGACTGAGGGAGGGGCTTTGTGTTCTGGTCAACCGTGAGTTCAACCAGAATCTAAGCTGTTCAAGGTTCACCAATTAGCTGAGTCCTGTCAATCACAATATCCTTATCCTTAATGAGTCTGGTATGGATTTTGAAGGGGAACATATTCAAAGATATGCATAGGATCCCCCAAAAATATATACATGACCATATTCCAGCATGCAGCCTGGCTGGCCAGGAAAGAAAGGAAGCGAATGTGTGAACACTCCTATTGAGTCATACAAGGCCACAAGCTTTAAACATTGTGAGGGACACCTTGCAAGGGGAGAGGGGGCTCTGGCAAGGCCCCCTTTGCCCATGTTTATGAGGGCTAGGGCCTCATCCCCACATCCCTGGGCTGGTGCATTTGGGGGTCTGCAATGAGGGAACTTATAGAATAAGGGGCCCTCAGATATCTGCCCCCCACCACCTGAATGAGTAAGTGGTACAAAGTAACACACATATAAAGTTCTTCTGCTACTCTGTGAAATTACAGCTCTTTGGTTGCTGAATGTCTTCAAACAGGCCAGGGAATCTTCACTGACGTCAGTGCCCATATATCATTGACCATATTGTTTATGAACAGAACAAAGCTGTCCGAGAAATGTTATTCAGCAGCAATGGGTTTTTTTTCTTCTAAATGTCACTTTCCTCGAGTACATGGTACAAGTGCGCCACTTCACATACAGGTTTAATGCATCCCTTAAGCACGTTATTTAAGGGAATTGTGACCTCTGCCTCCATTCATTTTTTTTCCCTCCATCTCGCTGATTTGGTTCCTGATGATCAGTAGAAAGCTAAGCTCTCAATGACAGCAGGGGAGAGAGTCTTCATAAATGTATCCCCAGTTTAAAATACAGATGGTGGGTAGGAAGGGTTTAAAGTAGGGATGCACCAATACCATTTTTTCCAGACCAAGTACGGATACTTTTTCTTAAGTACTCGCTGATACCAATAACTAATACTTTTTTTGTGACAGTTTTTCTAAAACAATACAGACTATTGATTTTAGGACAGTGGTGGAGCGCTAGGGCCTGGTCGTAGCTTCAAACACGGAGACCCTAGTAGTTCTACCACTGACTTCAAGCTGTAGAGGGACTACAGATCCCAGCAATACACTATACAGCAATGCAGAATACCATCACCTATAGACGACTACAAATCCCAGCAGTACATTATACAGTAATGCAGTATATTGTGAAGCTCTGAGTTGCTCCATGGTGGTGGCCTGGTGTCTCCAGAGTCTCAGTTGGACTGTGCAGGGTCTCACCAGGGGTCTGATAGGTCGTGTGGGTGGCAGAGTTCCCCAGTAAGGAGGAGGAGATGTACAGCCAGAGCAGTAAACAGGTGCGACGGTTCACAGGAAGTCTGCCCAGGTCCCCAGCAAGCACGGGACCTCAGACATTCATTTCGGTTTTAAAATTTCAGTCGACGTTTAGTATCGGTCTACCAGTATCGGTGCATCCCTAAGTTAAAGTAAACCCAAACACTAAAAATCTCAAACTTAACTATATTTATGTAATTTCAAAAGTCCTTTACAAATTTTTGTTAAAATACACATTACTGTGTTTATAGCAACAACATCTGCAGTATACAATTTCGGTCACCAGATGGCAGTGTATATAAGTTCTGTTATACAGTATCTATGGTATATACTCTTTATTGAAAAAGGTGGAGAATAAAGCTGTGGCTTCCTTCCTGTTTTTAAGCCATGTGCAGCATGCATATCAGACTGTGTGCTTGTGTTTCTCTGTGAGGCTGTGCAAGACGTTCCAACAGTTTTTTAAAATTCCGTGCAGGTCCTTGTCCAAGCACTTACTGCCTGCGTAGTTTGTAAGAGTAGCAGTCTGACTCCTTGACTTGCTGCCAGAACAGAGTACCTGGCTAGAATAGGGTACTGTCTGCATTTCAGTAATTAATAAAGAAGTTGAATTTAGCCCAGAGGGCGATAAAGTATTTAAAGTATGTATCCAAAATGCCTCTCTTTGCAGCAGCAAAGGATCACGATCATGTCCACACCCCAGCATTGGTACATATACAATGCATTGGTACATTGGCTCGATAACGGCTCCATGTAATTCATGAACCTGATGCAGTTTCATATCAAAATGTAAAGCAATTGGTTTTGTCATATCCGGATTCTTTCCCTTAAGAAGGACCTCAATCACTAATTTAATGTTATTACAGTGTCTACCATTTTTACAATCCTTGTACCAAGGATGACCAAATCGTTCTATTAGAGCTATATGCTTGTAGAGATGAATCTTTCACATTCAGATATAAGGACTAATCAACCTTAAGAAATTGAGATTTCATATCATTGCATTCATAATGCAACCAGATGCTTAATTACAAGTCTGTATACACCAGTGTTTCTCAGGTTTTTTGAGCTACGGCACACTTTTAATCACCTCCCGTCTGCCAAACGTTAAAAAACGGGCGGATGGGAGTCTGCTGGATTCGGGAGTCTGCTGGATTTGCACTTTCACGACACGTTACCATGGGTCGTGTTTGTACACATTTAATGCTTGGCAGCCCATTCATATTAATGGGCTGCAGCTTGCGCAACAAACATAGCAAGGAAGCTCATGCTGCCCTCTTCCCAAATACATTATATCACCCAAATGATTGTGTCCCCCCATACAGTTCATCCCCCATAAGGCCCCTATACAGTGCATTTTCCCTATTATGTTCCTCCCATGCAGTGTAACCCCCACATACTATCCTCCCATAAAAAGCCCTCCCGCATTGTCCCCCCCCCACTGATCACATATCTGATAGTTTAAATCAATCACAATCCAGTCCAGCAGGAGGAGACACCTTACCTTTGCTCTACTTATGTACCCAGCTTCCTGTGCGCCTCTGCTGTGCTCTGTTCACCCCTCCCCTTTCTTCTCTTCTCCATGCAGTGCTCTGCTCACCCCTCCCACCTCCTCTCTCCTCTTCTATAAACTCCAGGAGGCAGACAGCGGTCATAACTATCTAATTTTCAAGCGGTCATAGCCCCATCTAATTTTTGTTGGTATATATATTGAGGCCCCCAAAAAGAAATCCAACTGAAGGTACTCAACAGCCCCTAGTTTGGGATTGACGCATAAAGAAAACATATGTCCAACATATCTCCATGATTGTATAACATCCAGGATCCTCAGCTTCCCGCAGTACCCACCAAAAATCACCAGTGTCACTAACAAAAGCCAGAAATTTGGAAACAAATGGCTGTGTATAGAAATTGAGGCATTTGGCCAAGTGTTGAGTTTGAGCCCATCGCCATTAGATTAACCCCATTATGAATTTTAGGCACTCTGTAACTCAACCGTTGTTTTGGAGAATTCCTTATACAGGAATCTTATAGTATCTTAACTGAGCCACCCATTTGCTGTCCCAATATCAATGTAACCTCTCACTTAATACATCATCTGTTGAATCAGAAATCACTTCTTGATCATTTGTAACACCTGCAAGCAAGGACACCATTCCTGTCTGATTGCCAGCTTAGTCAAGCACCTCCATGTCTCTGCTATTTTCAGCCAGGTTTATTATAATATTTTGGTCAGGCGTTTTATGTGAAACAGAACTGTCTATCCACTAACCCACACAACACAATAAAAAAAAAAGTCTGTGTTCAGTTTCAAACAACAAATACAGACTGGCTAAAAAAGATGGCCACTCTGAAGCAGTTAGAGAAACATATTCATGCTGCAATATGTGTAAACTAAGAATCCTTGTTTTTTAACTTAGGATTACAGGTGAGTTTGTGTGTATGGGAGAGGAAGGAGTTTGACCGTAATTAGGTGTTCTGTGTGGTCACACCCCTCCAGCATCCCCTTTATATAATCTGTTTGAGTTTGCTCATACACTCTTCTTTCCATTGTCTGCTGTAGGTGAGTTTACAGAGCTGGGCTGTTTGGTGCAACTATAGCAGGATGTTTATATATAAGCATTGTATTGGCAGAGTGATAGGAGAGGGGTCCCTTTAATGTAGCTGGCTTAAACATAATTGAATATGTGTATTTTGAATCTTAATGCAGTGCTAGTTATAAGTTTGTTTAAAGTATAATAGTGTACAGAGTTCTTTGTTGTAACTATGTAAAATTCATGCTGACACTGTAGCTTTATTCTAAATTACTTCCAGGACATAGGCACTAAAACCAAAGATGGTAAGTAGGACAGTAGATTCTGTAGATTCCAATGGCCATTGATATATTTTTCTTTATTGCTCTAGGCTTAAAATCCAAGGTCACTTTTATACAAGGTCCAAGATGATTTACCAATTACCACGTTCTAAGTCTGAAGTTCAGAGATAGTAATGTATTGAACTATGTCTGCAGTGGCCCTCCCTGTGCACATAAGGGTACATAAAGTTTTTAGTTTTGGATACAATGGGAAAGGGTCAGACCCTGTGTTTTTAGTGCTTTCTGTGTCCCTGTAGGGACACAATTTAGTGAAATTCAAAGTTTTAGAGTTGTCATCCGAAAAATAGGTGAGGGTAAATATTCCTTTGGGACACCTGTCCCAGGGACAACCGTTTAAGAGGGGAATTCCCCTCACTTTGGGAGATTTTTTCTAACTTCCTTTTGTGTCTATCAGAATGGAACATGAAGGGAAATCAACCAATGGTATGCAAACCACTAAGATTAGCATAGCATATTCCACAGGTTTACTAGATCATGTAAAATAATTTCCATTGTGTGCTTTTTGCCAAGGTCCTAAAGGCTTAGCCACATTTTGTGTAGCAACCATTTACTACTCTAGAATGTGTTTGAATAGTAGACATATATGTTTCATCTTCCTTTCTAGTGTAGTCCTGGAGATCATTGTCACTGTCAGAGAAATTAATAGAAAATCCAAAATTTCCCCTGCAAAGTGCAAATTATGCCTTTTAGTAAATCAATCACATTACAACCAGACCTATGAAATTAGACTGATAAAATGAACTAATCCTGTGTCGGGACATAAGAGAAAAGTCAAGTCAAATGTGAGTTCTCTTTTACAACAATTCTTTTCTCGCAGAGCTGCTGTCTGGTATTGCTGTCTCATCAAGCTATGGGGATCTACAAACTCAAAGTAGCCACAGGGAATGACCTGGTTGCTGGCACCTGTAATAATATCTTTATTGTACTTGTGGGGATGAATGGTGAAAGTGACAAACACCAACTGCCCCGTCACTGGAGCCACTTCTTGCCTGGATCCGTGAGTATCTTTTGATATTGCTGTCAATATTGGTATGGAGTTATTACGGCATCAAAGTCAGGCAGTGATAAGAACTGTCATGGTGCAATTACACAGGAAAGGGAAGCAGGCTGGTAGGACAAGAACCCTAAGTTTCAGAAAGGCAAACTTTGATAAACTGCGCCACCTAGTGGGGGACATCAAATGGGAAAAATTATTTCACAAACTAAACTCGGACCAAAAGTGGGAATTTTAAAAAAACATGTATACCATTAGGTAATAAAAGTAAAATATCGCAAACTAAGCCTATATGGCTAAATAAAAATGTAAAGCAACAGATCAAGGAAAAGCGAGTGGCTTTTAGAAAATATAAGATGGAGGGGACGGCATTGGCATTCCATAACTACAAAGAATGTAATAAAAGATGTAAACTAGTAATCCGGGAAGCTAAAATAGAGTGCGAACAGCATATCGCCATAGTTAGTAAAAAAAACACAATTTTTTTTAACCAATATATAAACAGTAAAAGGGGGAGAAAGGAGCAGATAGACCCAATAAAGGACAAAACGGGAAGTTACTAAAAAATGACAAGGAGAGGGCCGAAGTGCTGAACAATTTTTTCTCCTCAGTATACACACACGAAAAAGACGGGTTTAATGTTCTAGATAAAACACATAGTTCAACAAAAAATATACCGCAGTGGTTGACGGAAACCGGGAACAACAAAGACTTAAGCTACTAAATGCAAATAAAGCATTGGGACCAGATAACCTGCACCCCAAGATACTTAAGGAACTAAGCGAGGTTATAACAAGACCATTATTCATCATTTTTAAGGACTCTTTAATGACTGGTATAGTACCAAGTGACTGGCGGAGGGCTACGGTAGTTCCAATATTCAAAAAGGGGGCAAGATGCCAACCTGAGAACTACAGACCGGTTAGTCTTACATCGGTAGTTTGTAAAGTGTTAGAGGGCATGATTAAAGACCACTTAGTAGAATTTGTTCAGGATAATGGCATAGTTAGTGATAATCAACATGGGTTTAGGAAAGACCGTTCGTGTCAAACTAACCTGCTAACTTTCTACGAGGGGGTATGTAGTGATCTGGATGAAGGGAGGTCTGTGGATGTGGTATATCTGGATTTCTCGAAGGCTTTTGATATGGTACCACACAAATGCTTACTATACAAGCTGAGATCGATGGGCATAGATGGAAGGGTATGTACATGGATAGAGAATTGGCTAAAAGAACGGGTACAGAGAGTATCAATAAATGGCGCCCTTTCAGACTGGGCTAATGTCATGAGCGGTGTGCCTCAGGGTTCTGTGCTGGGCCCCATGCTATTCAACCTGTTTATTAATGACATCGGGGAGGGTGTAAACAGCAATATTTCAGTGTTTGCTGATGATACGAAAATCTGGAGGGTAATTGAAACGGACCAAGATAGTATAACATTGCAGGAGGACCTGGACAAAATAGGGGAGTGGGCAACTATGTGTCAGATGAGGTTTAATGTCGATACATATAAAAATAAGAAAATGGGCTATACAATTATGGGTATGCCGCTAGGGAATTCAGAAATGGAGAAAGACTTGGGGGTCATAGTAGACCATAGACTAAATAATAGCTTACAGTGCCAGGTTGCCGTAAGCAAAGCTAGTAGAGTCCTGTCCTGTATCAAGAAGGGAATGTTTTGCAGGGACAAGTCTATAATTTTGCCACTGTACACTTCACTGGTTCGACCTCACCTGGAGTATGCGGTCCAGTTTTGGGCACCAGTACACAGAAAGGATGTCCAGGAGCTGGAAAGAGTCCAGCGGAGGGCAACCAAACTCATTAAGGGAATGGAGGACCAAGACTATGAGACACGGCTACTACATTTAAATATGTTCACGCTGGAAGTAAGTAGATTAAGGGGGGAAATGATTTTCATGTACAAGATGTTCAACGGTCAAAGCAACATTACCAACAAACTCTTTACGCTTAACTCCACAACAAAGACTAGAGGCCACCACCTAAAATTGGTGGAAAACAAATTCCATCACAAGGGGCGAAGGGGGTTCTTCTCAGTTAGAGCGGTTAGGGTTTTAGGGTTTTGGAACTCTCTGCCACAGGCAGTGATTTCAGCAAAGAGCGTGGAATCATTCAAGAAGCTTTTGGACGATTTCCTGAGTTACCATAATGTACAGGGGTACAGGTACTCTTAAGATTGTGATGACACAGGGACCTATACATACACACACACACACACAATAGGTTGGACTTGATGGACTTATGTACTTTTTCAACCTCAAATACTATGTAACTATGTAACTATGAAACATGCTGTAAACAAACACAGGCTCCTCAAATTCTGAGAGAGTTAGAGTTGGAGGAGCCTGTGTTTGTTTACAGCATGCTTTGACTTTGGGAATAAACATTGCCCAGCTAGTGATATCAGTCCTTTGTGTGGCAATTATTTCTGCCAGAACCAGTATCAAGCTGCAGCGTGCTTTTCTTGCACCAACAAGTGGGATGTGGCTGTGTGACCACAGGACAAGGAATATGAGTAGTGGTTGCTTTGTGAGTTGAATGAAGTTGGGTTGCTTTAACAGAATTGTATGTTATTTTTGCTCTTTACCCTTGTACTCCCAAGTAAACCCACATATGTAGAACAAAGGCTTGCACTGTAGATTGACGCTGCTTCAGGAAACACAAATCAGTTACCATTTATATCTAAGTTAGACTAAGCACAATGTGTATAGCGATGTCATTCATTTTTTTAAGAAACTTACCTTAAACGTGGTGCTAAGCATAATAACAGGAGTCAACAATTTTTGTTAACTGTGGTTAGATATGCAATGCATATATCTGGGTTGTCTGCTGTGGGTTATTGTTCTTGTGGTCCCTTAGACCTTGTTCCCATGAGCTTTAGTGTGTGTGTGTGTACACCATGGTCTTGAAAAAAAAAATTTGTAAAGATTTCAACAAGCAGCTTTATTGAAGCCCTTAAAGGAAACTCCAGTTCTACTATAGGCATAAACTCTTAATGGCAGTGCTGACTGTGAAATAAAGCTTATTGAGAGCCAAATAGCCACATATTTAAAGTAGTAAAATAAATAACATTGTGCTGCACTCCCGAACTTTTAATGCATATACCAAATTTACCCAATGCAATGTGTTCGGCTGTATTAAATAGGCTACCAAAAAGAATCCTATAAGTGAAAAAATGTTCACCATAGTAAAGGTGAGACTATTACTTGATTAAAGCAGACCTTTACCCCCTTTGGCTAAAAATCACATCAGCATGCAGCTCTGCTCTTATGTTCATTAGTTAAACAAACATATTGTCATTTTACTTACTCCTTTTCCTTACTCCTTGGCAAAAGTGATGTAATGTCCCCAAGTGTTGCACCTGGGAGGGTTATTGCTGAGAAATCAATCTCAGGGAAAGGCATTTTTCTTCCCTGAGATGATGTGCATGGTCACATGTCTTAGTCCTAGTGTGCTAGAGTTCCGTTCCAGGAAGTTAAGGAAGATGGATTAATCTACCCTTATTAAAAATGGCTACTGTGAGAAGAATGTTGGGGTAAAGAAATATAAGGTATGCAAAGAATATACAGCCTGCAATAATCTATAATGATCTGTTTGTAGATTGTCATTACTATATTTCTAAAGGTGCCTTTGTCGTTATCTTAAAGATATGGGTAAAGATCATCTTTAACTGACAAGCACACATTAAAAAAGTGTGCCATATGGCAACCAGATCTCTTACAACTCAGGTTACCAAATAGAAACATATACATTTCTTCCTACTAGTTCCTGAAATAGATGTTTCAGATGTTCATGTTCATTCATGCGCTAAACCAACAAACCCTTGTCTTGCATGGGGATCCAAGATGGGGAGTCTTGCATCATCTTTCTTACATGATGCAATTACTGTCCTCTTAATAGTTCCTTCATCTCTCTGATGGAAGCTAGATGGCAAAACCTGAACATTTGTTTTAAAGTCAATGGAGAGGAAAAGGGGAGTGCAGAGCTGGCAAATGTTGTTGGTGAAGCCTTTCAAATAGGAGTGGCACATTCGCAGTAACAAACTCCTTCCTCTGCACCACCAAGAGAACAAGTGGTGCAAGAAAATCTGTGCTACAAGCTAATTCAACAACTAGATATGCTTTTTTTGTTTGGTTTAAATGTTGCAAGCATATCTGGTAAACATTGGGTCATGGCCTATGGCTAGTAGTTTGTTCTGGTGTCTGACTTGTCTCCTTCTATCTAGGTGGCAGTGTTTGATATCAATGTCAAGAAAGATCTTGGTGAGCTCCTGCTTGTTAGACTGTCCATGGAACGCTACTTAAACTTTCCTCTGGATGAATGGTTTTGCCAGTACGTCAATGTAACCTGCCCCAGTGGTCAGATCTGCCAGTTTCCATTCTATCAGTGGATATCAGTCTTTATGATTGTGGAGATTCCAGAGGGAAAAGGTTAGAAGTGAATTGTATTGTGGTTATATATACTTTATCTTCTGAGGCAGGTAACTGATAGCATTAAACTATATGTCAAGCTAAAACTTTTTTTGTTTTAAATTTGAATAGAGTAGGGAAGAGAGATGTCCTTAAATTCACCAGAACAAGTTTCCCCATTGAAATACTGTCCCCTTTTTGTCCTACTGACAAATCAAATCCCATCACTCTGATTCCCAGGCACAGTGGTTATCAGTAGAAAGAGGGAGGACAAATCTCCCCAGCAAGGACAGACAGCAATAAAAACCTGACTAGGGGTCTAACAGTTCCCCACATCACCATTATGGGCTTTAAAATGGAAGGTGTTCTGCACCTAGACCATCTTTTACTAGGGATAGTTATCATTGTACTGGTAACTTGTACAAACCACTGTGAATGCTTCCAGACACAAGTGTTTTTTTCATTCCCCCCCCCCCCCCTACCCCCAACACACGCACACCTTTACTTCTAGTTTGGAAGATCTAATATAGTTCCTTTAAGGGATGCACTGAAACCGTTTTTTCTGTATCAAGTACAAGTTCTTATATTTTGCTTTCGGTACTCTTCAATAGCGAGTACTGATACTGGTGCTGGCATGGAGCCAGCCTCACGGGCAATCAGGAAGCTGGGCGGCCGGTAATGACATTCCACCCGCCTTCCTGATTGCCAGCTCCATGTTGTTTGGCTGGCTCGATTGTGATTGGCCGTGAAACCGGCTTCCCAGCCAATCAGCATCAAGCCGGCTTCCTGGCCAATCAGAAAGCAGGGCGGCGAGTAATGGCCCACCTCCCGGCTTCCTGATTGACTGGAAAGCCGGCTTCCTAGCGAACCAGCAAGGAGGCGGCTGTTCAGCCGGCTTCCCAGCCAACCAGCAAGGAGGAGGCTGTTCAGCCGGCTCGATGCTGATTGGCCGGGAAGCAGGCTTCCCAGCCAATCAGCCTGGAGTCGTCTTCCCGGCTAATCAGGAACGCGGGAGGCTGGAGCCAGGAGGCACCATGTTCCCCTACAGCACTGCCGGTCAGAGGAAATTTTCATCTTACCAGAAATTCCGGTATCGGGGAAAGTATCTGAGCATTTGGGCGAGTACAAGTACTCACCCAAATACTCAGTATCGGCACAGATACTAGTATCAGTGCATCCCTAGTTCCTTTCAATAGTTTTCTCATGAAATTGTACAGTGCAGTTGTACCAGAGACAGTTTTTTTTATGTTGTCACCAAGTAAGCATTGATGGCCCATGTGTAGTAGTAGCCTAGAGGTCAGTATTCAACATTTCACCTGTTTGGACCTGAACATGCACCAATAGTGCCCATATAGCATTTTAGGACTAGCTTAGTAGTAATAAAAAGCACTCCTCACACTCAGACTTTTCACACTTGTTGGAAGATTTGTGTGACATGGCCAAACCTGCAGACTGATGGAAAGAGGTAAAACATATAATGGTATGCCTTGTTCTGTGCGTGCAAGTTGCACAAACATAGAGTCCTGTCACTACATTTCTACAGATGTCTCCCAAGGCTAATTTCAGGAAGCCCAATGCCTGTCTTGCTAGCTTTTTCCTACTTTTAAGAGCTGTCTACAAGTATAGAAATCTTTGCAATATTTTGTCACTCTCCTACAACCAAAGTAGTCAAGTGGTTTAATTTAATGTAGTTACAGACAGTACACAAATGATTGCTACTATAATTGCAGCTACTTTACTTGCAACCAATCTCTTCTGCTTCAGGTGTTGTCCTAAGTGAGAATACTCACCCTGCCCTTAAGAATCAAAGAAAAGCTGAACTGGATCGGAACAAAGAATCACACAAGTGAGTGATATACAATCACATCTTGCCTCTGTTTGGTTGGGAGGCAGTTTTTGTCCCTATGGGCTAATATTTTGTAAATCACTTCACACATTGACATTATGGATGGGTTACAGAAGTCTTTCTGACCTTCATGTTTACTGCCCTTTGCTGGTGTATTCATGGCTATAGGATATCAATTGGCTTCAGCATATTAATTGACCTCAGTCTGTTAGATACTCAAAAACTCAGTATTGATTTATTAAATGAGTGCATCAGTCTGTTGTTCCTTCTCAAGAACAGATAAAAGATAAAATCTAGGTTCACTTGTAAAGAACACTAGAAAACACTATTGGTGATTCTGCTGGACTGGCTTAGGACTTCTGCTTTAGACAATTTGATGGCCTGGTGGGTTGTGTGTTTGATTCTAAAGGCTCTAACATAGAGCTGAACTCCCAAACCATTTTTCTCTAGTTTTTGTCTAGAGTGGTAGTTTTTTTCTGGGTCTCTATTGCAGAGAATTGCACTTGTATAACCAGTATTGCTGGGTCACGAGGGAAAATCACCAAATGACACACATGACAATCAAAAAAACAGATGTACTAACCCTTCCCCACTATGCTTCTAAACTATGTGAACCTATTGATCAGGTCAGGCAGTCTGGAGTATCAAAAAATCTTGCTGACCTTGTGTGTTTGCTGGGCAATAGGAAGTAGGTGTCTCTGAGTAATTCAGCAGTGTAATCCCTGTTCTTTAACTCCTGACTTTATTACATGTATACCTCCGCTACATGTAGCATGAAGTTTACATAGACTATAATTCAGGTACACGTACTATTACACTGCATAAATTAAAGGTAGTTTAATAGGTGGACGGCTGCTCTTTCCTATAGCTTAAACAATAGTTTCACTAACCTTTACAGGTCAGAATGGCTGTATCTAAACCTTTAATTCATTCAAATAGCTGGACTAGTATTAACTTTATCTTATCCTGTAGGTGGAAGGTTTATGTAAAAGGTGCCCCTCACTGCATTGATGTAGCTGACGATGAAGTGAAGAATCTGCCACCAAATGACCAGTTTTCTTTGCTAAAGGTGTCCAGCTTTGGATACACCACCCTCGCTACGTATGTATCCTATATCTGTTGTAAATATTGGCAGAAAGAAATTCACAGCAAGATATAAAATTCTGTTTAGTTTACTTAAATGGGTTGTCCTATAATATGAATTAAATGTGGTAATGGTTAATAGAAGACACATCCTGCTCACCTTGTCTTGCCTTGTCTGCTAATAAATTGACCTAATAAGTGTGACCTGCATAGAGCCATTTCAGAGACTGAATTTCCTGAGAACCTGACATTGGATACAAAGCAAGGGATTGGATCAACATGCTTCTTAATGCATTTGCTGGTGCCCCTTGATCAAAGACAGATTCTAAGTAACATTAATTAGTTGGAATCTCTTCACATGATTAAACGTATGTAATATCTAGGTAACATGTCCATGAAATGATCATGCATAAAGATGTCATTCAGTTAGGCTTTTAGGCTTTAAACCTACTTTACATAGAGGAATCACGATCCCAGCTCAACAGTGGTCAGCTGAAAATATATTTTAGCTGCTGCCACAGTGTATCAGTTCTACACTTGTTTAATGGCGGCAATAAGCATAGAGAAGGCACTTTTGTTTTTGTCCTTGACATCATGGACACAGCATCTGTTTATTGATGATGCCTTGTTTAATATGTGGATGATTTAATATGCACAAACATGTTAATCCCCTCCACAGCTGACTTAATTGAACAATATATTTAATATAGTCCATTGACTATTGTTCTTTATTTTGGCAGGCTTGAGAACTGAGTGTCCTTTGTGTAAAGACATCTACACAAATATTCAAGTATCAGTGCATCAGAAAGATAGTGTGGATGACTAAATATTCACACCTTGTTAATCCCCTTTACAGACAACTTGTTTGAACATTATATTTAATATATTCTATTGACTATTGTTGCATCTTATTAGGGCTGAAAACTGAGTGCCCTTTGTATACTTATTTGCCAGCAAGCAAAAAACACACAATCACAATGTGATTTGTGTGTTTTGGTTGGAATAAGACCCAAAGCTATTCCTTCAAAACAGTCTCGATAAGAAAACAGTCATTCTCGCATAATATGTTTAAAAGTAAACATAAAATTGTAATCTTCGTAAGGGGCATGCACAAATGTAAGTCTTTTCCCAGCATACTGGTTCCACAATGTAAGTGCCTGTGTGGACTACACCTAGGCCTGACCAGTATATTGCTTACTTCTGCAGATCTCAGGCCAATTGTAGAATTTGGAGGGTTAATTGAACGTGCAGAAACAATCAGCCGCAGTATTTGCACATTTGGTTATGGGAGACCTAACTAACAGAGCAGAAGCTATTGTGATCAGAGCATAACTTGTTGATACTTTTTCTGCTTAATGATACTGAGTCTAGGTTTGAGTGTTTCTGACCTGCATATTTGTTTGTAACATAGTTATGTATGACTCTGGATCTATTTTATCTGTCAGTGGCTTAGAAACCAAACTAAAAGGATTTGCATGCAACACGGATTCATGGCATAGCCTAGAAGACATCAAACTGGTGTCCACTCTGCGAAGATCACAGAATTCAGGTTGTAAAATCTACTTCTCTGTCTTCATGTGAATTGCAACATGTATATATAGTACACAACAGTTACTGTTCTTACAATAAGTCTCTTCTAACAGCTAAGTTTTGGTTTTCCATAGACAACTAAGTGAGGGTATTGACCATTCGCCCTTGTAATCATTTTGTGTTATGTCAGAGCTGCTAAAGAACAAGTTATCTGGATGCCGATGAACTGAAAACACAAGGGAAGCTTTTATATTGCTGCCTTCTAAACAACTGGTTGCCTTGTGGTTATGCTGACCCAGTGGCTTCAGTGTCACTACCTCAGAGCAGTGCTCTGTATATGTGTGTGTGTGTGTGTATATATGAATATACAATATATATACATATATATACTGTATATAGTGAGAACTAGCTTCAAATAGTAGAGCATTAAGGACACATCCACTCACTTTAATCTTATTAAGGCTACCTTGCCCACTTTTATTAATAGAAAATCCTCAAAACATAATGCAGTTGCCCTCACAGGAGTTGTTCAACATCTCTCTACGTACTCCTGTCTTTGTTCTTCCAGCACCACTGCTCTGGCCTCAGTCCTCAGGCCCTTTTCTGTTTCTTCTCCAGACAGTACTCAAACACCATCTCTGGCTGCTCTCAGCTGCCCTGGTGCCCACCCTAAATACTGTATGGAGTAATTTTGACTCCTGGGTGGAGCTCTCTTTTGTCCCCCAGCTGGAGCCCTAAACACTTGACAGCACTTGTACCAGAAGGGATATGCACAGCTGCACAATCAATGGTGCTGGTCAATATCAAAACATGGACCAAGGGTTGAAGGCTTCATCCCGCCCACATCTCTACAAAGCCTCTGGGTTCCAGGACCCTGACCAGAGTCTATCAATTCTGGAGAAAACTTAAATGACAAAATGACAATTTTCCTTATATGAAACATACAGCCCTTAGACCCTCAACCTGTTTGGTTAAGAACCCTGGATGACCTCCAACCCTAAAGAAAACTGACCCAAAAGCACAATGCACAATTGTACCTGTTACATAAGCCTTCAGAGGCACCAGCAAAAGGAGGATCTATTTTATATGCGTTTTAAATGTGTATGTAAACCCCTGGAGTTTGTGTCAAATATTTAATTGAAAGTGTTTGTGCTATATATGTGCAAAAGTGAAAACAACCGTTAGAAATCTTGAGCTGAAGACTTCCCGTGTTCTCTGTCTGAACGCTTATCAGTCAACATTTATTCCCTAAAGAAATACATGTTTTATGGTAATAACACACTTACCTTACCAAAAGTGTTACTGACAGGATCACCAGGTTAAAATTGGGTGTAGGGACCTTAAAACAATGCAGCCAACACATCTAAGTACTGGTAAATGCTTGTGTTTCAGAACTAGTAAGTGAGATATGGAAGGAAGATTCTTTCTTTGGTAGCCTATATCTTAACGGAGTTAACCCCACACTGATTAAGAAATGCTTCAAAGTCCCAAGCAACTTCCCTGTTGGTGAACACATAGTGGCCCCATCTCTGGGACCTTCCACAAACTTGGAGAAAGAGCTCCAGGTAGGTCTTTTTCTGATGTACAGATCTAGATGTAATATAACAATTTACATCCCACACAGCCATAATCTTATTTTTTTTTTGGTCTACGATTTATTGGATTCCATACATTTGTCATCTTGCAGAGTGGTCACATTTTCCTGGCAGACTATAAAATTCTCGAAGGAGTTCCATCAAATAGCTCAATTAATGGGCAGCAACAATTTATTGCAGCTCCCCTGTGCCTACTGTGGAAGAATCCTCAAGATCAGCTTGTCCCTATTGCCATCCAGGTATTTATCTGTGTTGTGCATAATTGTATTTCTAAAAATTTTAAATGGTAAACTTGTGAAAGGTGACTTGTGAAACTAAAGATGTATGTCACTTCATGTGCATCTGCATTTATTGGCATTATGGTAAAAAGTGGATCTCATTAAGTCATACAATTGCACACCAGTATAGCCAAGTACCATTCTGAAAAAAAACTACTCAAGAGCTCATCAAGGCGCAACCAAGAAGCATTATCTTTATATATGTAATGAGTAAGTACAGAGCTACGGTGAAGAAGGTACTATAGAAATGGAAAAAGTCCCAGAGAATAGCCTCTGCTGAGGAGCAGGAGGACTTCAGCTGTGAGGACAGATGAAGTAAAATTGAAGTTTTTCTACATTTAAAGAGTCCATGAAGGGAGAGGATGCTGCTCATTTTTCAAAAGGCAGTCACTTGAAGACTACATAGAAAAGTGACAAAAGTAGATTGTCTTTAGGGGTCAAGAAGAAATATTCCTCTTATGGTTAACTGGGACATATTTAATAAGTCCCTAACTTGATTATGAACACGAGAACTCATCAGACGCTTAACTTCGCACAGTTGGTATGTCTTCCCTGTCTTTTATGTGAGTAGTTAAGTAAACAATATGACACTTTAAATACACTTCAGTCTGGATTGTGGTGATCACTTGAATTAGCTGGTAGTTGTAATATAACATTGTCCTAGATAATAGTATAACTTGTATCTCTTTAATGTGTAATAAGTCTAAATATAAAGTTGTCTAATTAATTTGTTGTTTTTTTCCTTTGTATTAGTTATCTCAAACACCTGGAGATAAAGCTCCAGTCTTCCTGCCCAGTGACTCTGAATTTGACTGGTTACTGGCCAAGATCTGGGTGCGTAATTCTGACTTCCAGGTACATGAAGTTGACACTCACCTTCTCCGCACCCATCTCTTAGCTGAGGTCTTTTCCATTGCAACTGCCAGACAACTTCCAATGGGGCATCCAGTGTATAAGGTGAGGCGGGCCTTTGAAAATATCCTTTTGGGCAATATCCATATAATATATAATATATTATGGCCTGCTATACATTAGTAGTGGGACTATAAGCAATTGCATTGATAATGTTTAATGATGATGTTGTCCTAAATGTGTCTAGCGTAGGTAAAACCTGCTAAATAGTCTGTTTTAAAAGAGAACAGAGTATGCTTTAAAGCAGTGGTACTCAACCTTTCTAGGGCCGGGACCCCTTGGTAACATTTGCCAAGTTGTGGTGACCCCGAACGGTAAAATTTAGGGATGACGCGGCTGCTGCAGCGACATCTGGCGACGTGGCGGGAGAACTGACACTGCTGCGCTAGGAGAGGGCTGAGGAGGAATCTCACCTAGAGCAGTAGAAATCACACAGCGACCGAACCACTGGCGTACGCAGCCAAAATAAAAATAAAAAACACCATAGGAATAAATAGCTAGATTCCTATTGGCTATTTCACTTTGCAATAGCCAATAAGCCAATAGCAAATTAGCTATTGAACCCGCCCTCTGCTGCTGTCAATCACTAGAAGAGGACCTGACGGAGAACTTCAGGTCCCCCTCTGCTGATTGGCAGCAAAAAAAAGCGGGTTCAATAGCTAATTTGCTATTGGCTTATTGGCTATTGCAAAGTGAAATAGTCAATAGGAATCTAGCTCTGCATTGGTGTTTTTTGTTTTTTTCTGACTTATGGCGGCCGGCGGCCCCCGATGTCAGAAAAAAAAAAAACTATCGCAGGGAAAGGTTTACTCTACTCGATCGAGCAGAGTAAACCTTTCCGGGAGATAGTGTTTCTCTTCCAGGCTGGGAGCCGCTATCTAATAGCGGGAGACTCCCGGGCGACCCCTGGCAAATCGCCATTCGACCCCCGACGGGGTCGCGACCCATAGGTTGAGAACCGCTGTTTTAAAGAGACCTACAGTGTTCTTGATATACTTTTTTTTAATTAAGGCCAATTTTGAAAAAATCTTGATTAACAGAATGTTATTATAGTATAGTACACTTTTGTATGTAGTTCTTACAAGTTGACAGGGTTTACTTCTTTCTTTAGACAGTTTGATGTTGTTTTGTTTTTTTTAATTCTTTAACGTTTTCAAACACAAAATATAATGAATATAAATACAGAGTTGGGAGAGAAAAGAAGGGATATGATGTACACAAGTCAAGTAAACAAAAGCGGTCTCAATTCGACTCTATTGCTAGAATAAGTGATAAGTTATTATTGTTTCTATTTACTAAAACTTGTCTTATGTTTTAATACAACTTTTTGAAACTGGGTGGTTGTCACATATGGTTGATATGGTATGATTTATAATGAATTGGTTCAGAATCGTTTTTTAGGCAAGTTGACTGTAAGAAACTAGTAATGTAATACAAATGTTTATCACAATAATGTATTAAGAGCCCAAAAACAGCTCTTCCCCTACCGCTCCTCTTTAAATTCTAAATGTATTCCCTAAGCATATCAAAACACAAAAGGAACTCATATACAGTATCAATAAGTAGGTTTAAGAAAGTACCTTTCCAAAAAAAAAAAAAACCCAGACCAAAAGTATGTATTAAAGCTCAATTCCAAACCCCTACTGTGCAAGAGAGGAATATTTTATTTAACATAACAATAACAAAAATAACCTTAAAAACAAGAACTAAAGAAAGAAGAAAACAATTGAAGTAATTAAAAAGGAAACACACTCTGATAATACAATAAAAAGCAGAAAGTCAGGATAGAGCAAAAATAAGTAAGAGAGAAATGAGAGAGAGAGAGAGAGAGAGAGAGAGAGAGAGAGAGAGAGATGAAAATCAGGAACAGAAGAGCACTGGGGGGAGAATAGAGGGATCAAGGTCCCTCCTCCTCATCCACAAGTCGGGACCATGGCGTCATCTCCTTAAAGTGCTAAGTCATAAACTTGAGAAAGAGCATATTCGTGCCAGTAAATCCATGTATGATAAAATCTCTCTTCACTTGTATAGCTTGAAATAAACTTTCATAATGTCCTTTGACTTTGGTCTTTATAAGACTGAGGGGACCTGAAGGTCATATGGCCAGTTTGTTGGGTTTATTCAATAAGGTAAGTGCAGTAACCCCACAGCAACCAAGTAGGATGTGAGTGATTTGACATTGGTTAAATGATAGTTGTAGAGCTGTTATTCAAGAATATTGAATTGAACTCTGTTCAACTCAACTGTTTCCTTCTCCATGAGAAGGAAAGAGAAAGAGAAAAAAGAAAGAGAATTTGTAGCAGTATAAATACTTTTTTTTGGTCTGGTTAAGTCTAAGCTGTAGCAAGCACCACAAACAGCTGCATTTTTGCCATTAACCAGTGCATTGTTCACATTCACTGAATCTAAGTCTGTGAAAAAAAATTGGAAAGTATCTTTGATCAAGTAAGAGCCAGATCTGTTTTGCTTGTTAGTCTGCGTGGTCACTAGGGATGGTCTCAATGTTCAAGTCTAACAACAGTTCGACTTGAACATCGCTAGTTTGCGTGTTAGGCAAACACACGAACTGTCAGGGCGTTCAGCGGGCTTTTCGCCAGCCGACCGCCCCACAAGGCTTTCAGAGATGTCTGATTGAGTAAAGCAATGCACCTGACCATAGGTCAGGTGCAAGACTTTTCCCAATCATGGCACAGTGCACTGTAAGAGCCATGATTGGGCAAAACACTGATGACTTTGCCAAATCATGGCTCACAGCTAAGTCCAAGCCCCACACTATATAAGGCTGCTTTCATCACAGCCTTATGTAGTGTGTTGCTGTTGTTAATGATAGAGTTAAAGGAGAACTATGGGGTTAAGGCTTTTCCCCATAGTTCTCCTTAGAGTTAGGTGTAGTGTAAGCGAACTGGTGTCAGTGCTTTGTACAGTATGTTAGTACTCTGTACTGTGTATAGTATTATTTTCTGTGCTTTATATTCACTGTCTATTTGTTTTTTTGTTTGTTTGTTTGTGTCAGTGGCGTCGCTGGTGTTCCTCCTTCTACATCACAAGTGTTCCCATTTTTTTTCTTTTTTTTCAGCAGCAGGTTATTTTGCTGCCTCATTGCTGTTCCCCCTTCCGTGTCGCAGGCGTTCCCCCTTCTGCTTCACAGGTGTTCCCGTTGTTTTTTTCTTTTTTCATTTTTCATAATAAACCATTGTACAACAGTTTATAGTGCACCAAGCACCACGTGCGATAAAGTATTGCACCCAAGCACCAATTTCCCATCCCACATTCTCGAATAAAATGTTATAATAAGCCGCACATCATGTCTGAAAGGCCAACAAGGAGACAGGTGCATATAATTTGAATTTTTTACAGTAGGCCCCACCCCTGCGCTCTCCAAGAGTAACTGTGAGGGGTTACAGTGGGGAGGCACCAACACTAAACTCCCAATTTTAAAGCATCTGTTGTCACTTTCATCCAACTTTTGCAAAAGAGGCACCAGAATGTAGCCAAAAAATCTCTAACCTTGTTCCGAGTGTCCTAAAATGTGTTCTCTTCATACAGGCTGCCACCCCAAGCAGTTGTTTACAAGATTAAGGGAAGTGCAATTACCGGCAATTTAAATGTAATTTGTCGCTCGCCCCC